AAATACTCTCGAGGAGGGGGAAAACATCAATAATTACATTCCTGGCCACCAGATATGATAGTGTTAGGCGACCCAATTCTCGGGTTTGATTTACCAGTGCCGGTCATCCAGAAAAACAAGAAAATACCAGGAAAATAGGAAAAGAGGAAATAATCAATATTTCTGCATAGCAAGGTGATAATGGATCCACAGAGATTGGTTATCTGACTCTGCTGCAGCATTTCTGACCATTTAGTATCACCACCACTTCTGGATGCATTAGATAGCTGTTTCCATTGAAAGAGCAGTAAAATGCACTGTACACCATCTGACCGGCAGCGAACAGCAGATACAAGAAGAGACACATATTTCCCCGGAGACTTAGCGGAGGGCAAAACAAAGCTGAAAAGGGAATGAATATTGGAGTTACATTCATCAAACGGACATGAACACGACTCCATATAACGTTGCTAATGCAGCTAATGGATGTGTTCAGTGTGTGGCAACTGTTTGGTAACAGGCTTCCAGCCTAAAGGCTAATATGTCAGTGACCAGAAGCCATCAGGCATTATATGAAAGTGAGGAAAAAGGAAAAAAAACCTGAACTCTTAGTTAACTTTTTATTCTTTTTGCCAGTTATTGAAATTAAGATTAGAATTTACCCATTTATGGAGTGTTACAGTCTTTAAATTTCTCTCTGATGATAAAATAGCGTCTTAAAATCAGAATTAATTAGTCTGTGGAAACTGAATCTCCCAGGTGCAGAGGAACTGACTGAACAAAGCTGTGCAGACTACACCCATGTGACAAAGACCAGTGGCAATAACTGAATTAATGATTCTTGTCTTGTCTTGTCTTGTGTGTCTGTCTGCATGTGTGTGTGTGTGGGGGTGTAGTGGCCATGTACAGGGAGCCCTCCCTCCATGACTTGACAGAACTCTCCCGTTCAGGCAGCGGCACACCGACCAAGAGCCGCAGCGCTTCGGCCCTACTTAATGGCGGCGGGAAGACACCCAGCAACAACGACTTATCCTAGCCCCCCGACCCCTCACACCGTACCACACATACACATGCACATACACATGCACACTCAGACACACTCCCATGCAGACGCACACATACACGCACAGATCTCAGGCCGACATGCCCACACATCAGACTGGTGAGGGGTGGGAGAAAAAGAAGGAGGACGGGGACGTGTTCTTCCACTAAACGGAGCCCACTGTGACTGACTGTGATGTAAATAAATCAAGGACAATCAATCCGTCTGGCTCTGCTGCCCCTGGTGTGCAGAGGGACGGGACCTGCGACTCTCTTCCCTCGGACGGGTCCTCCTGCTGTATCGTGAACAGTTGGATCAAGCGAGGGAGCGATAGAGAAGAGGGGACAGAGGAAGTCAGACAGTCAGTCACGCAGTCAGATAAACAGACTGTTACAGAGAACCAAAGAGTACAAGTATTAACCCACTAGGTTATTACTACGAAATGGCACGCGGCTGGAAAGTTACAGGGAGTTACAATGGAAGGAAGTCTTTATCTAATCTACCGTACGCTATGTTTACACAGAGCTCATGGGTTTAAGTCATATTTTTAAAACTGACAAACATATTCCTTGTACACTTATAAGGACTTATCATTTGTTTGCATGCAGGTGTGCCTGTGCATGTGTGAGAGAGAGCGAGAGAGAGAGATTGAGTACATGCTGTGCTTGCGATAGGCGTGCTATGTGTGTGTGTTTGTGTGGGAGAGAAAGTGTGTGTGTGTGTGTGTGTGTGTGTGCACGCATGTGTCTTGAGGGTGGGGGTTGGGATTTTACCTTTTTAAGATCTGTTGTATATTGGACAAACCCCCAGGGCTTGAGCAGGTTACTGTAAGGTTTACTGTATATGCTTCCATGCTTACTTCTTACAAGCAATGCTGTCGTTTCTCTTTCCGTTCGTTGTTGTTGTCCCTTGCCGTTTGTTTGTTTGTTGTTGCATGGAAGCTTGTGGACCTCTGCTCAGTAGCAGCATGCTGAAGGTCCTTTTTCTTTTCCCCCCTCTCTCCTGGTCTTACGTGTTCCTGACCATAAGAGAACACTAGTGAGCCAATAGTGTGATACCAGAACACTAGTGAACTAATGTGAGGGTGTTAGAACACTACTGGACCAATAGTATTGCACCAGAACACGGGCGGACCAATAGTGTTGGACCAGAACTTTGGTGAACAGCACAGATTAACTTAATATTTTGGTTCCTGCTGTGGACAAACTAGAAATGCACTAAATAAACTCTTTCTAAGGAAGTGAACTGTCTCCCTTGTGTATTTATTCAAGCATTTTGCACCTGGCTGATGTCATGTCTGTTTCAAATGTTTGAAGTCTGGCTTATAATATTTGAATTTTATCAACAGTCAAGGCAGCGCTCACATTTCTTTTTCTTATTACATAAGACATATTTTTATTCTATTGCTCCAGCGGGCTGCTGATAGTTTTGGTTTCATGCCCAGCGCCGACGGTTTTACCACCACCAAAGGCAGAAGATGAATTAGTCCCTATGAAAACGTGTTGATAGTGGCTTGTGTGGATTACCGAGTGTAACAGTGCTGATTTGCTAGCACTCCATAACGGGGGTCTGTGAATACAACCTCGCGGATTAATGTAAGACTTCAGGCATGAAAAATAATAATTAATGTAAAACCTCACCAACTAATCATGGTAAAAGCTCATTAAATAATTATGCAAACCCTCATGAATTATCAGGAGTACATAAATAAAACAGCTCTTGCATGAAGCGGGGCGTTAATTAATGCCACATGTATGTCATTCATCGTGAATTAGGATATATTAATCATGTTCATAGTCGTCTGCAGTTTACAGGGTGGGCTCTAAAACAAAATTTGCACATGTTTATTATGTTTAATTCCAGATGTTGCAGTCATGATGAGTTAAGCATGGCTCTTCATGTTTTTGCTTAGCATTATAAAGTGGTGACCTGCTCCTTCATTAACACTGTTAAATGCTAAATGATGAATAATGGTGTAAAATCGAGTGTACTCATTTATAGAAAGGAGTGGCAATGCTAAATGCTTACAGAAGAAGCACAGCATATTTAATTTTGACATATGAATGAAGGGAAATGACTCTTAATAAAGTAAAATATTTATTTTACATTGTCTCAACTTTGTAGTAATTTACAATGGATAATACAGTCATGGTAAAAAAAAGAAGCGCAGCCTCTTTTCAATTCTAATGTTTTGCATATCAAATAATAAAAATCATCTGGACCTTGGCAGGTCTTATAAATATACAAAAGAGTGTGTCATTATTTATTTAACGAAGATTAAGCCAAAACAAAAGCAATGTGTGAAAGCTACCACCTTTACTGGTTCCACGGGGATTCAGATGGTAAGAAGTAGATGCTGCTAATCAAAAACACTTGATTGATACTGATAACCAACCAAGTGTGAGAACATCTATAAAAGCAAGTTTTGGCAGTTTGCTGGTCTGGAGCATTCACACGATGCCAATGAGGAACGACATCAGCACTGATTGTAGAAAAGCAATTGTTGCCGCCAATCAGTTTGGCAGATTTTCCAATTTGCCCTTCCAAAGTGTAAACAATTGAGACAGTGGCCGATGTTCCCAGAAGTGGACTACCCAGCAAATAAATACAATTAGAAAAAGGCTGAATAAGTTTATTCTTTTTCTGGAAGGGTTTTTAGGAGAAAGCCTCTTCTCTTTAAAACCAACATAGTAGCACGTCTTAGGTTTGCAAAGCTGTTTCTGAACAAACCACAAGACGTCTGGAACGATGTTCTTTGGGCATATGGACAAAAACCAACCACAGAATATCAGCACAAACTCCTCGTACTGACTGCCAAGCACAGTGACCTCAACCCGACTGCTACCCTAAAACAACTGAAACAACGCTGTAAAGAAAAGCGGGCAAAAATTCTCCCACAAAGATGTGAGAGACTGATGAAGTCATACAAATGATTATTTCAAGGTACTTCAAATTATAGCTGATAAAAGTGGTTCTACTAGCTTAAGAATCATGGGCGTGCTTAAATAAATAATGTATTATGCATTGCTTTTCTTCATCTGAGGTTGTATTAACTTAATCTTAAGAACTGGTGAAGACCAGATCAATATATTTAGTTATGTCCTGATCAAATGATGTAAAACAAAGAATCGGCAGAGGGTGCACTCTCTTTTTACCGTGACTGTATGTTTGATACAGATATCAAAAACACGCAAACCACTTTATCTGAAGGCTCAAAGAAGCCATGCTTGTTATTCAGACATTTGGAGTTTAACAGAGCACGTGAATGATGATGATCGAAAACCGCATGGTGCTGCACTGAACATATGCATAAAACACTTAAGTTAATCACTGTAGGATCCAAACAGGATTCTGGATAAAGTGAATTTGTGTTTTTCATGCATGAAAACGTTTTTTATGAGTTGTACCATGAACAGAAATGACATTTATTGCCTTATCCAGACGAAGAGAAAGAATTATAACGCTGTTTTATTCACACTCACCTAACGTTCAACTCCAACCCATAAGCCTTTAAACACTTTCTCACTGTCTCACAATCAGTGAGGTCAGCTACAGTATTGGGTTCCGTAAACTGTCCATGGAGACCTCAACAACATGCAAGCTGGAGGAGCTGGGCATTGAACCACTGCCCTCTCACATAGTAGCTTTGACTGTAGTTATCTTCACATTAAGGAGCTCCTTGTGCTCTTATAGGAGAGAAAAAACCTTAAGTATTGACTTATTTTAATGTTGAACTTAGCATAATTAACTTCAACTTGCCTTTGGAAGGAAAACAAGAACATTAAAACAAAAGTGGTATTTTATTTGACCACTAGGTGGTGCTTCTATTTCAGAGCTCTGTTGCTATTATTGGTAACTCATCTTGGGGGTGGATGAGAGGCAGCAATAAAAGAAACTCTGGTAAAGAATCTTAAAAGTCTAAAGAAATGAGGGAAAATAGACACGGGGGACATAAAATAAACAGTCCCAAACACAAATATTCTTTATAAAATTATTTACTCCAACATTTGCGTGTGTTCGTTTCTCAGTGAAGGGCAGGTAAAGCAGACACAGGCATTTATCTTCAAATGATTCAGCTGAGAGGGGCCGAGGACACATTTATGCAATCACAAAATACAACAAGATAAAGTGCAAAAGTCAAATGTGAAAAATAAGAGTCATATAAAGGTTAAAACCAATTGTTTCACATTGCAACAACAAACATTTATTCATTGCTTTTAGGAACAGTGTCTACTCGATATTTTTTATTAAACGTATAAATACACAATTAAGATATGAGATTCTGTACTTCTCTTACTAATAATGATAATTTAAGATTATAACTAAAAAAATTTCTTTAACCGGGTTTTTCATTTTTCATTTCCAAGTATCAAGTATAAAAATAATACAAACCAGTGGGTGTAGCTAAAACGTCTTGCCTGTAACGCTGAACTCACAGTGTTGAAGAACTACACTCTCCCTTTGCTACGCTTTCCTTTTTTTTTTTTTACTTTCTGCAGCCCTGTGCAAATGTAAACACGCATGCAAACTCACACCAACACGTACACATCACGTTCATAGTGATCCACATTAACACGGTACTGATGTATCAGCTGAGCATGTCGTATTTACAGTAGCTGGTGCAGCATCACGCTGCCTGTACTTTTCCTTTAGATGAAATGAGAGCGCAATGCCTCCGAGTCCATCCTTTCTCTCTTCAGTGCCAGTTTTCTTGCTCTTCTTGCGTTTTCCTTTCAAACGTCCTCGTCTCCATCTGTCGATCTGTTTATGATCACTCTATGTCCCCTTCTTTGACTCCCACTCCTGGAAACAGTAAAACGGGAGCATGTGAGTCAAGCAGTTTTTGGTCCTCGCACACACAAACACACGCGCACTCTACCTTTGCCTTCTGCATCACATTCCCCTTGGAGGAGGCGTAAAGAGACGGAGGCCGCTTTCGAAGCTCAGATGCCGCGTTGACAGGCACAGTCTCCATGTAAACCTTTTCAACCTTACTGCCCTGCGCCTACGCACGAACACACAGGCAACCCCCCCAAAAAACAGTAAAAGTTTGATTTCACTTATTTGAGCCCAGTGATGTTACTTTAAAAACAACACAAGAAGACCAAAAGTTCTTCCAGTCAAAAGCAGATGGATTACTAAAACAAGCATACAAGAACACAGAAAGAATGAAGAGAGAAACACCAAAACAAGCAAACACAGAAACTCATTATAAATGTCTAAAATGAGAAACATATGTTAGCAAACAAACATAAAGCCTGATAAAATAAAAGTCAAATAAATAAGGGCCATATGGTCAAATAAATGACTTGTCTGGTAACAGACACTGCACACTGATTTAAAGGATTTGTCTTAATACAGTCCCAGCTGTTCATATGAGAAATCCCTCAGCTCATGTTCTGGACAAAAATCAACCGTAAATCTTCACTGAAGCTCATATGAACTTTTAGCAGTCGTTGATATTGATGTATTTTTAGTATCATCTTTTTACCTCCATCCTAAACAAAAAACCTCACGACTGCATTTAAATGTATGTATGTAAAGAACTCTTATAAGAGCGTTTGTATATATTTTAAAGTACATTCATTAAGAGTTTTCTAAGGAGAGCTTCAGTTCCAGCTGTAAACAGATGTGTGTGTTTGCTGCCTACCTTGACGTTGATCTTGGTATCAGTAGGTGGACCCAGTGCCCCTCTAGCCAGTGACTTCTTCAGGTTTTCTTTGACCTCTGTCAGTCTCAGCTCCAGCTCCACCCGTTCCTCCTCCTTCTGTTTGCACAGTGTTTCCAGCTCAGCTAACTGCTTTTCCACACTATTACCTGAACACACGCACACCCACACACACTCATAATTAGGACCGCTATGAAGCCTACGACTGAACAAGCGCTGTGTGTGTGATTCGTCTCTGACCTGTGCCGCTCTTCCCCTCCTCCTTCAACTGCCTTTTCTCCTTGCGCAGGGAAATCAGTGCATTTCTGAGGTCCTCCTTCTGCTTCTCCAACTCCTCTTTCTCTCTCAGGTACCGCCTGGCATCCTCCTCTGCCCGTGTCTTCCCATACCGCCCATACTGATTCACATCTACGATGTGAAAAAGAAGGAAATGAAGACAGATTTGGCCACATTTGAACCCAAATCCCTTTCATGGAGACAGTCTAATGAATTATGAAATTAACCGAGACTCACTGGAGGCATGTCTCTTAATGGCAGCTTGTTGTTCAGTTTTCTCAGAGTCCCTGCTGGAGAACGAAGCGTGACGTCTCACCTGGCCTCCTCTGCTCTCCACATCCACTTCCTGCAACAGAATAATTTAATGAATTCTAATTAACAAAATGTAATAGAGGAACTTTAAGGAAAAGGAAAATACTATAAATACTATATGTTTATATGACTGATAAATATAAGCTTTTTAAAGATCGGATTAAAAAAGAAAAAAGAAAACATATTTTGTTAATCTATTATCCAAAATCTTATTAGTAGTTTCACTAGGGCTCCAGTGAAGCTCAACACAGAATGGTATTAAAATCCTAAGTTACAAAAAAATGGTGTTTGTATTCTGTAAATTTGCAATAAATTTCAATGAATGAATGTAAGAGAGAGGAGAGGATCAGTGAGGAGAGAAAGAGAGTAGAAGCAGATTTAAACATCTCTGTGTCTGCTGTGTTCAATATAAAGGATTTTGTATCTCATCACTTGCTTAGAATTAAAGAAAAATAAAGTTTTCTCACCGCAACACTTTCATAGACCTCATCGTAAGTTCTGGAGTCTATTGAAGCACTACTGGAGGAGTGAGCTGTTGTAGCCCACCTGGGAGAAAAAGAAGAGGAAGATATATGAATATAAAAATGAGTATTTCAAAATAAAAGCTGTAATAAAAGACTGTTGGGTAAACATATGCACAAAAACGCATACTGTTGACTCACAAGAAGGAGTGTCTGGCAGCATGCCGTATGTCAGTAAGTGTGTCCACATCGATGTAATCATAGTGCAACTCTTCAGGGAGAGTGCTGCTGCCGGTCTCTGCAAATAAAACTCCAAGCCAGCGGCCAAGATCCTCAGAGCAGCTGGCCTGAATGACACACAAACACGAACAGACACACGCACATTTGTTAGTCCATGAGCAGAAAAATGTAAGGTGTGGCATGCCTGTGCGCACACTGATGATACCTCTCAGCTATATCAACAGTGATGTAACCAAGTGGCACAAATAAAATCAGTCTGTATACACATTAAATCTCCTGTGCTGGATAAAATGGTTCAAGATCTCCTGCTTCACCTCCAGAGCTGCCAGCTCGTTGCCTCCCTGTAGGATGCGGAAAGAGAACGGATGTTTAGGTCCAAGCCCGCCTGGCATCACCTCTGCCCCTTTGAGTGGCACCACAATGATTGGGGGTCGCTGGTCCCCAGGGTCCTTCTGCAGGTACAAACTTCCACCCCGGAGCACGCACCACCGCTCCCTCCAAGAGCCGCTCAGACACACGCTCAGATATCCTGATGAGTGTGTTAAAAAGAACGTATTTACATTTTATTCATTGTCATATAATGTACCCAACACTGTTTGATGTGACGTTCGGTTTCTGGATCTAAATTAGATGTTATTATCATGAAATTAAAATGATATGATGTTTTTATAAGTTGTTATATTGGCATGAATGCTAAAAATGAGTCATTTTAGCTTGTTCTTAGGTGTTGGCTAGGCAAACTGATGATGTCATAACAACAGATATGGAATAAAAACTTCAGGGACTTAATATCTACTTGTGCCCATTACAGCACATTATAATTGTTTAGCTCCTGATCATGGAGGAGGAATTCGTGGACAAATATTTGGTGTATTATAGGAAGAATATGTACAATAACTTTTACATCTCTACAGTTATACGTTTTTTTTTCCTAAAAGGCATTTTTATTGTTCTGAATTGTGCATCATCAGCATTAATTTGTCCTTTAACACTCTTTGACACTCATGTCAAATTACAAATGCTAATGGAAAACAATCTAAACATCAATCAGCCACTTAGATGATTCTCTAACTAACCAGCCATTCAACAAAGTATTCATCAGGTCTTCTCACCAGAGCGGGGGTTGTCATGCTGGCCAGAAGACAAAGGAGACTCTCCTGGTAAAGGAGGTTTCCGCTTGGAAAAGGTGATGATCCGATTGATTTTCCTCCCAGCTGCTCGGCTCATCGACCCGGTCAGCTCTGAAAATGCTCCACGCTTCCCCCTGTCTGAAGTCAAACACATCCTGAAGTTGAACTTTATAACATCCAGCCAGTAAAACAGACAATGTTGCCTCATCATTTAAATATCATGCTGTTATTATTTTTTTAAGTTTTACATTTTATCAGTTACAATGTAACAAAAACATGATGTAAAAGTAAATAAAGTAAAGTAATAAAGTAAAGTAAAGTAAAAGGTCTGAATTCTGGAAAAAATACATTTTTGAAAAAGACCCTGCACCCAAACAGGACTCATGAAGCTTTTGAAGAAATAATATCTTGTTATTTCAGAGATGGCTTGTATTTATTCAACCAGACCCCGACAGCCGGTTTGCAAGTTCACTCTGAATGTACCAGGTGCTGCAGTGCACTGTTCACACTACTTCCTGATGATGTCAGTGGGAGACAATTGCAGGAAGAGGACAGGAAGGATGTCATATCTGCTCGAGCCTCACTTCCTGTCGCTCCCTCTCTCTCATGTCTCTTTAGGATCAGAGTTCCTTCGTCCGTAAACAGATTTGAAACAACTGTTTCCCAATTTCACTGTGTTTGACCTATTTTCTAACCCAGCACCAAGGATCTCCCTGGTTTATCCTTCCTGATTTTGTAGATAGAAAAACAAAAATATTGTGTGTGTGTGTGTGTGTGTTTGCTTTTGTAGCCTTGTGGGGACCTGAGTTCCAGACCCTGAAAGTGGGGACTCTTAGAAACTGAGGAACCATTTGAAGAACCCTTATTTAAATATTTATGGTTTAAAAAGATGCTAGACTACGTAAAACACTATTCACACAAAACCCATAAACAACCACTAAACTTTGTAACAGACATACAGTTATCATTTACTACAGAGAAGTTGCATCACAGTCATTTACATTTCTCTTAAACTGTAACTATGTTGGTTTCTCTATGTTAAAGATGTAGAATAATGGAGGGAAAAAATCGTCTCCCTGCCAGTTATTAGTTTACCTTTTTTAAAATTTGCTACAAAGTATCAATGAATGAGTCAGAATAGTATTACTCATACAGTGTTCCTCTCTTTTCATAAAAATGGCAACATAAATTAAGCTAGAAGAGCAATGCAGTATATGATGTGTGTTACAAATATACTGAAATGAATCCTTTACCTCCTAATCTTACAACACGTGAGAGGAAGGTGTTATGCCTCTCCCCACAGCTCAACAGTGTGCTGCATCTGCGGAACTGTGCCTAAATACCCTTTAACAACCATCTATCTAAATGTTTGTTTTCACTGTGAAATATGCCAACGAGACCAGAAAGATGCTTTGCTGTGATTTTAAAGAGCATGTAAAGTGTAAATCATGTTGAACTGTCCCAATATATCTGTGGTAACACTGAGAAATTACCCACAGACACTAATCTAACGTTAAATCTCACTATAACCACCGATTTAACCTGCAATAACATGTCTTGTGCTATAATTACTGAGAGTGTACACACAAGAAGCTTATTTCAATGAAGCAACCACAATAAAAAAGAGTCGGTTGCAACAAAAACATCTCAAAAACTGCTGGTGAAGGTTCACGTACTGAGTGAGTCAGTAGTGTCTCGTCCTGACCCGTGTGCAGTGGCCTGACTGTCTGCTGTTGGCCCGCTGTCTGAGTCTGAAGCCTGTCTCTCAGACTGTAGCACCTGGCAACAAAAGGAACAAAACACTTTTACTTCTCTCTTTTATAACATTTGAAGAGAGGAGACAAGGAATAGCAAAAATTGGCACATTTGTCTTTGCGTTTTCATGTTAAAAATAAAAATAAATAAAAATTAATGTATCCTCTGGGAGTATGACTATTTCTTTCTGCCAACGTGGGGTGTAACTGCCATGTCAGCATGCATTCAGTTTGTTCAGGACTTGAAGCTCTTTGAAACCAAGGCAACTCAGCAACCGCAATAATCACCTCACTCACTGCTTGTAAACTAGAAGCCAAAGGAATAGTTGTGTCATGCGTGGGCTGAAAGAGGGTGATGTCAGCGACACTGAAATGTTAAAACTGGGGTATATATTCAGTATGCCACAAATTACATTTGTCATAGTAAGACACAGTAAGAGCACAGCGTTAGACCGGCATTGGGGCTCCTCATTAAGTCTGTTTTATGGGAAATTTTGGTCTTTGTGGCAAGACCACAAAGAGAACACTGCGGACGAACAGTCTGACATTCAAGGACATACGCAGATAAGCACACTCACCTTGTCGAGCTCCAGCTTCCTCTGTATAATTGGAGAAGTTGATCCATCCAGCCCCTCAGTGTTGCTACACTGGCTGCCAACATCGTGGACCACCTGAACAGAGAAAAAGAAAACATTCATTTACAGGCACAGCCTTGTGTCTGCTCGTCTGTCTCAGCACCGTGCCTCTAATGAGGTGAAAAAAGGTACCTTGAGCCATCGCTGGGCCTGTTCTTTACTCTGGACTGCCAAGACTAGCGCTTCGCCCCCAGGTAATGAGAAGCGCAACTCGTGACGCTTTTTCCGGCCTTCCTTAGGGACATAGATGACGTTGCAAAGATTCAGTGGAAGCTCTGTGTTGGGAGAGCTCTCTTTGATGCTTTTAAAACACTGTGAAGGAAGAAGTCAAGAACATGCATTATTTGAGTAAAAGATAATCTATGTAAGCCTAGCCTCTTACTGTTATAAGCTGGAAAATAACTGTGTAAACTGTGGCTTACAAATAAGTGTGTTCAACTGTCTGATTCACCATAAATAAATAATTTACCTTGAATAACACCAGAAAAAGACAATTCTTTGATTTGAATGATAAAATAAACATTAATAAACAGCAGCATCTATTTACCTGCAGTTTATTGTCTCGGACAACAACAAGCTGCTTAGCCCACTGGCCAAAGCGTTTCTTTCGCAGTAGGAAGGCACAGATGCGGCAGTCTCGAACCGGTCCATCTGTTCTTTCCTCAGCTGTCCATCTCTGAGGTTGGTCTCGGCCCTTTGCTTCCTCTTCCTCTTCTTCGTAAGACTCGTAGGAACTACTCAGAGCATCTGAGTCATTGTCTGTGTAACAAAGCAATTATTGTTTTACAGAAGATCCACAAAACAAATTGTGATTCACAAAATCCTAGCTCTACTACGAGACATAAACTAGCATGAATAAGGGTCAGATTAAAACTCACAGGAGCTTTTGGGAGGCCCATTCATTCTGGTGGTGGGGTAGTTATTGTCAGCATCTTCATAATAGGCGTCCTCCACAGAGTTCCTGGATGCTACAGGTGAATAGATAGAGTATGTGAGAAAGCAGAACCAAAGGTACTGATCTGATTACCATTATACATGAATGCGCACACACATGTGCGTTTGTATATGCATGTGTTCATACTGGTGGTAAAGTACTGAGGAGTAGATCCCGGATCTAGAGGAACAGCTTCTTCATAGTAGTCATCAGGAAGGGGTGTAGTTGGCAGAGGAGGAGGAGTGTCAGTTGGGGTCTGAAAACCAAAGGTAGCTGCTGAACCAGAACTGGGGGTAAAAGGAAGGCTGATGTAGGTAAGTAGTTTCTGTGAATGACTTACAGATTTATTGGGATGAGTCTTCTCCTCTTCATCCTTGTGCTCTTTCTGCTCCACTGGAGATGCACTGAGCATGTGCAAATCACAGCCTGATAGGATTAATCATGATTAACTTTATAATTTTATATAAACAGAGGTATAATGATTGTAAATACATACACAAAGGATTTTTTTGTAACTGAACTGAACCGAAGGTATTTTGAAGGACTACTAACCAAAATCCTCAAACAGAGACTCTACAAAGCTCGTGCCATTGCCATAGAGACAGCTGTTCATGTAGACATCAGAGCCGTTCACTGTGGAAAAGACAAATTATGGATTAAAACCAGGATCAGAGTTAGGGTTACATAGCCTATAGCTTTTAGGTCAGGATTAAGAAGGGCTATAGAGACTGAATAACGAAGTATAAATAGTATTTCATCTGCAATAAAAATTAGATCTATGGTGACCTATGTACAGGGAGTACAGAACTGAGATTGAAAATCTTTGTACAGCAAGAACAAAGAAAATGTGTGTGAAAGGTCACAGAAAGGTTTGACAGAAAAAAGCAGATACAATGATGCGAAATACACAGCAACTATTTAAAAAAGATGAGTATGGACACGACAGACTGGGTCCAGTCTAATATTTGTTTTCTGAGACCATCGGGATGTTTTGCTGTTCTCATTATCCTCTTTGCATTTCATTATCCTCTTACACGGATCCTTTTATCCTCCCCGACATCCTGTATTCTTCCAGATAAAAAGGGATTTGTCTGTAAAGACCTCAGCAAGATTTCATGTCACAGAGGCTGCATTTTGTAGCACAACAACTGCTGCACTCTCTCAAGTTGAGCAGTTTCAGTGTGGTTGGCTAAACACAGTAGGGTCACACCATTGCAAACAGACAAAAAAGAAAGACATGCTGTAGTACTGTTGATGTGACACTTCTGACTTTTTTTTTTTGGCTAAACTGCTGCCATCACACTCAGCTGAATTCATCCTGAATAAATAAAAAAAACACTTCTACATTGAATATTCTTATTTCTACATTGTATTGAAATAAAGTGCTGCTTTTACTATTTTTGTAATGCCAGGACATCAAATGCTGCTGTTCTATCTGACCTGCTGGTGTGCAGAAGGTGTTTCTTGGCACTAGTGAGACAAGTCTGGCAATCAAACTGTTTATATTGCATGACTTTTTTCTAATGAAACACCATTTTAAATACTGCCCTGATGTTTCTGCAAGTCATATTTCATCCTAAAATCGTTTTACCAAAACCTAACCAAAATGCAGATGTCCAAAGGACAGAAACTTCAGTCTCTAGATGTCCAATCTTACAGTAGAACTATGCATGCTATAAGAAGCCAGTAGCACCTGACAGAAGAGCAGGAAATAAAATAAATAATAAAAGTAACACAAAAGGGCAATTTTATTATTACTGGGCTCTATCTGAAAGATCAGATCTTTATTATCTTCAAGGGAGAATATATTACACAGTCAGTGGAAATCACAAAACCATCAATCAAACAGCAACATCAAAATCATAGTGAGTGACTTAAAAACAATTGGAAGTTTGGACAAATGAGTTTTTCACTTTATTGATGTAGTCTATCTGCAGCCAGACCTTAAACTGCTTAGACTACGGCTGGCTGGACCAGCCAGGACCGAGTGGACCTTCTTCGAAGTCCTAAATTTAAACAATTGGGAAAGGTCATTCAGTGCAGTTGACTAAGTAAAGAACTGTAAGTTATTTCTGCGCTGTGTGAAATGTATTAACCCGTGCTGTACAAGAAACTGTACATGTTAAGAAATATTAACCTGAGTTATTTACATTGCCATCCTAACATTGGAGATTCTGTACCTGACAGCTGCAGTGAGTCCAGGATGTTGCGTATGGATGCCATTTTTTCAGCGGTAGCAGGACTGACCGTCTCGTGGTCCAACATCTTCAGCAGAGAGCCTAACTCATTTACAAGTCGTTCCATCACAACTAGAAACCACAAAAACAGACATCATGTAATACTCTTCTGATTTCAAGAACCACCAGGTTATTCACTTCAACTAAATTTTATTTATATTAATTCATCAAAATATTGTAATGTAAAGATCCCATAATATTAGAGAGAAAACCCCAACAATATGATGATCCCCTATGAGCAAGCACTTGGAGACAGTGGGAAGGAAAAACTTTCTTTTGATAGGAAGAAACCTGCAGCAGAACCAGGCTCAGGGACAGGCAGCCACAAACAGGGTGAGGGGAAAAAGAAAAAAGGAGGGCACAGAGAAACAAGGACAAAACACACACCATGGGAGGGATAACACAAAGTGCAATGACTTACAAAGCCATATAATGAATGGGGAATGAGAAGAGATAAGTGGAGAAGAACTGCTCAGTGCATCATGGGAAGTCAGGGAGGGATCGTTCTAACTGTATGCTTTATCAAAACGGAAAGTTTTAAGTCTAATCCTAAAAGTAGAGAGGGTGTCTGTCTACTAAATACAAACTGGGAGCTGGGTCCACAGAAGAGCAGCATAACAGCTGAAAGCTCTGCCTCCCATTCTACTTTTAGAAACTTTTAATACGGTAACCACAAATAAGCCTGCAGTCTCAGAGCGAAGTGTTCTGTTTATGATCATATGGTACTGTGAGGTCTTTAAGATATGACGGCCCTGATTATTCAAGACCTTGTGTGTGAGGCGAAGTTTAAATTCAACAGGGAGCCAATGAAGAGAAGCTAATCTGGGAGAAATATGATCTCACTGTTAGTACTCTCACTGCAGTGTTTTGAAACACTGAAAGCTTTTTAGGGAGTTTTTAAAACAGCCTGATAATAATGAATTACAAGAGTCCAGCCACAAAGTAAAAAAGTATGAACTCTTTTTTTAGCATCACTCTAAGAAAGGGTGTTTCCCATTGAATTCAGCACATGAAAGAAAGCATTCTTACATATTTGTCTAATGTGTGCGCTAAAGGATATGTCCTGGACAAAAATGACTCAAGGATGCCTCACAGTGTTACTGAAGGCCACAGTAATGCAATAGATAGAAAGTATCTGGTTAGACAGCATGTTTCTACGATTTTAAGGATAGCAGTACAATAACCAGATTTGTCTGAATTCAGAAGCAGAAAACTGGAGGACATTTAGGCCTTTATGTCTTTAGCTGCTGTAGTCAGATTTTATAGATAAATATAACTGCGTACAATCTGCATGGTAATAATGCTTTATGCAGTTTTTAAAGCTATAATATTGTCTAAGGGAAGAATGTTTAAGGTAAAAGCAATAAAGCAAAATCCTGAGTGCTCAGCATGGCCATCAGATCATCACAAGGCCAAACTGTCAGTTCACAAGTGGCATAAAGTCAGTTTGGAACTCAGCTGTCAGCTGCTGCAACAGCTGACAGGGAAAAGATTTTTAACATCCTCTAATGTCACCCTGGTGATTTTGTCCCACTCGGAGCAAGCCTTTTTGGGAACACAGCGAGTTTTCTGTGTGTCACTACTAAGCGTTAAATCCGACTTTCCACGTTGATATTTTGTGCTTTCTTTGAAAACCTTACTCTTTTCACTCCTACATCCTGTGTGGGTCAAGCGTGTGTGTCCGTGTGTGTGTTTTGTTGACCTTGACATTGTTCCAAATGCCCTGACACACTCTCACACATCCTGCCTGCTCACAGCCAACAAAGAGGAGGAGGAGGAGCAGGAGGGGGAGCCGGAGAAAAAAGAAGGTGAGGAGGAGGAAGCTCCCTTCCCTAAAGGAAATGGAGCCAAAGTGAAGAGGAAAATGTATAGCTTCACCACAGAGGACAGGAGATGGTTACCAAACTGCTTGAAGCCCCAAGTTAGTTCATTTACTTGTTTACTTCTAAATATAAGAAGATTGAAAGGCGTATCTTAGGATTAGTCTGAACCCGGAGCAAGCAGCTTTTCTTCTGATATTGACTTTTAATTAAACACTGAAGACATTAGAACTGCTTCTCTGATATTATCCACTGTTATTTGATGAAGTATTATTCATACACTTGAACAGGTCAAGTGCAACCAAGTCTAAAATAGTTTCATGTCACTTTGGTTTCCAGTGGGAGGTTTTAATAGCCTGTGCTTTTTATGTGGCTTTATCCACACTGGAAAGATGATAGTTTGTGGAAACATTTAAATTTTGTATTTTTTGGCATTAAAAATGTCAAATTTACAGTTCAGGTTCATTCATAATACAAAGCAGAAAGTTCATAGCTGGAAAGCTGGAAAAGCAACAGGATTTTTCAGGAATGATTTGAAAGAGCAGACTCTTTCGCCTCGTGTCCCTTTTTACAATCTGATCCACTTAATTTTATGGCTTTGTTAAGAAGAACATGCTTCACAATGATTAGTCAGATCAATAAGCTTTAGTATGTTTACAATTTATTATGGCATAAGTACACCTAAAAAAAACACAAATAAATGAATTACCCATTCCCAGAAAAGAAATGGAACAAGGGTTAAATAAAAATAAGATCAAAACAGTCTGTTTTCCTCACACACAACGTGAAGACAGAGAGAGTGAGCGAAAAAGCCCTGACTCTCCCACAAGCCTCTTCCGCCTCCCCCTCTCACTCGGACAATACTCTATTGTCTCCGCAAGGGCCAAAATTAGATGGCCACAATGCTAGGCAAGACCAGAGCAAACAATCGTATTGTCGGAGTCAGAGACTCCCAGAGAAAACAAAACAGGAACTAACACACAGTGTAAGAGGGGCGTGGTGCAACGCAGCTGCACGGTCTCAATCCACGGGCATGCAGGGTTGTATCTCCAGCAGCTGTGTGTGTGCGTGCGTGTGTGTATGAGTGAGTGTACGTGCGAGTGCAGCTGTGGTTTCCTGTCTTTGCTGTCGACAGGAGCTTCTCTCCCCTCCTTCCTGATCTTGACTCTCCATTGCATTATGAACCTCACCTCCTTCACTTCTTCCCACTTTCCCATTTTGTGTCCTGCTGTTTCTGTTTCTGCCCCAACATCTTCTCTCGCTGCATGCTCTCCCTCCATCTCTTGCCCATACTCTACATTTCTCCCAAACCAACTGAATAGAAAGATTCCTATCTGATGGGTGCTCAATTTGCAGATGCATTTTGCTCTACTTGAGGAAACGTCAATTAAAAAACAATCAACAAAGATCTCGAGTAATCAGACCAGTGCTCTGATCTATTTTCTGCCGGTCTCAAAGACACGCACAGTCAAGGACATCAGTCTGCTCTCTCTCTCCCCCTCATCTCTGAGTCTATATCTTTATTTCTCTCTCCTTCTATTTCCCTCTCTCTCTCTCAAGGGACCTGAGGGTTCAGAAGCTGAGAATCAGCTGTTCTGCAGGATTGTGGCCTGTCTCACCCACAGAGGGATCTTTGTAATCCCCCACTGCCCCACGCACCCCCACTCCACCCAGAACCACACACATGCAAGCACATACACACACACACACACACACACACGGCACAAATTTCCTCTTCAAATCCTTTTTTTCCCCACTGATAGACACGATCATTCACTTAACTAAGAGGAAGCACAAACGCTCACTGTTAATTCGTCTCTCGCTTCCTCGTCTGAGTAAACATACAGTCACAAGAGTACAAAGAGGAATGTGTTTGTTTGTGCGTCTTCACGTTCCTTTTTCTGTGTGTTTCCACAGACAGACTTCCTGATGAAGATCAGTCATGAGACTCGGGCCATGCGACTCTCATTTGGACTGATTTAGTGTGTTTGGTTGCAGCTCAGAACAAAACAACTGCTACTTACTGCTGCTGCTGCTGCCGCTTTTCTCGCCGCATAATACCTATAAGCAGCAGGTCAAAACAGGAAAGACACTTTGGCTCTCCTAAACTGAGGCTTTCGTTCCCATCCATTATAATTCGAACACACCAATTAACATAAATCCAAGGCTACCCATCCTCACTTGCCTCTCCCATTCAAAATATCCCTCCATGTTATAATTTTACCAACACTTCATGACTCAGAAGTACTCTATATGAATGCACTGAACTGTACTGCTTTTTGCTTCCATAGATTCTGTTACCTGATTGACATTAATATGTGTAACAAGGGTAATTTAAGACATATACTCTATGCAAAAACCGTATGAAACTGTCCTCTTCCTGCCTCCCCCACACTCCTCAGCACTGAGGTCCCTCCAGATTGCACATTCTCTCTGCCACTCCTTTCTTTCCCTTCCTCTGAGATCCTTTTCCTTCAACTCCTCTCCCTCGCCTGTCTCCCTCTGTCCCTTCCCCAGACACCCATCCTCTTCAGACAGAGGCCAAAGTTCAAGGCTTGGCAGGCCCAGCATCTCCCACTAAGACAAAAGTCTACTTCAGAGACACAGCATCCAGTAATTCATATTTTCGTGACAACAAAAGATGGTGTCAGTGCTTGCCTGGGGTTAGCGTTCAGTCAGACACTTTAAAAAGTCCACAACAAAGATAGCAAGATACTTAAAAAGAAACAGCTGGGGGGAAACAGTAGACGAATTCTTTTCGCATTCTTTTAGTATCTTATCATTTTCTGCAGATAGCAAATGGTGTGGAAACACAGGAAACAGAGGGGCACAAACGGCTTTTATAAATACTGAAATTCTTTATTTGCCCAGAGTGGAATGAAAATGGTTTGTAAAGATAACGCAGCAGCCAGAACACAGTTAGTATGAGTTGTGAAGGCATGAAATCTGGAAATTAGCTAGTTTTGTTTCTTTTCTTGAACTAAGTCTGCAATAATCCTATCAAGTGCACACGATTTAAAATGACTGGACCAGTCCACACTTTACTGTTACTACCTGTCATCACTGTCTTTCACAAATGCAAACACTGAGGCGTACGTACACACACAGACACACGCACCCACTCAAAGGTTTTATTTTTTATTGCTTTTACGGGGAGTGACAGGGTGATGATGAGGACAAAATATCAGGATTCTCTGTTTTTCCACTTTGGTGGCGGGGGGAAGCTGCTATCATCACCACATCAGCTTAGCTTCCACCTACACCAGACACACATGGGACACATGTACAGACCTGCTGCTCTGTTGCGTTTCTGTTACAGAAAATGTAATCACAGCTGATTTGAAGCGCAGCTAATTCTGGCTTCGAGCTGCAGTCTCACTTCCATTCGTGAAGGTTATATTTCTGTGTGAAACACAACTTGAAATCCAATCAAGAGGGAGTTGTGCACTTTCTGAAAATGGAGCGAGGGGGTGTGTTGTGCACTGGAATGAATCGTAGAGGAAAAGGGATTTTAAGGCAAACGTGGCAGAGGTCAAGGCTTGTGACACATATTAAACTGAGGAAAATCATATGTGCAAATGCAATAAACCACTTATAGGCAGAATGCACGCAGAAACAGTGTAAAATTCAGTGAGGGGTATGTTTACCTTTTTAAATTAAAATAGGCTTGTGAGAAAACTTTGCAGCTCTTTAATCTCTCCTTTATCCACAGCTCAGAATCTACCAATTTTTCCCAGCCACTGAAGCTCTTGCAATATTTTGCCAAATCTCCAGTATCAAGTATTCACACATTTACTGTGAGAATATTTTCTCCTGCAGTGTACAGCTGCTCCAACCATTTGGCTGTGGATTTGCCGCTTGTGTCTGAGTGCTCCATGTTTTTCCCCTCCAACACATTTTCACATTGGAAAAGCAGAAGTGTAAATAAAATAACTAAAAGGGCAGCGAGCCCAACGTCTGCCAAGGCCAATGCAGCATTTTCCAGTTTTTAAGGAAAGAAAAAGAAAGTGATCCAGGTGCACAACAAAACTGAATCAGTTCTTCAATTTGTCCATGCGCAACTTTTCATGAAAGTCAGGTTGATAGTTTTTGTTTCATCCTCCTGACAAACAGACAAATTTACAGACAGAAAGGGGACAATCTAAAGGAGAAATCCAAACCCTGACTTTGTTGGTGTTCCCTGCTTTTACAGGGAAGAGTAACATAGCTTTTATCCTATAAAGAATCACTTCTGATTTGAATGGCCTTTACTAGTTAGCAACACTCGTATCCGTAAGACACAGGTGGCCAATGAATCTCTTAATTAATAATTTATAAAAAGTGATGTGTATAGTGTGCTGTAGCCTTCACAATCACCTGGTCTCAAGATGGAAGAACATCTATCTGTGATTTTAGATCAGCTTGTTAGACAGTGTGAGCACCACCATCACTAAAACACCAAATGAGTGAGAATCAGTTGGAAAAGAGACCTCCATTAGAGATCCAGAGATATTTAAGTTTAGTGCCATACTGTGGCATGTAGTGGCCCAACAATGTTATTTCTTTCCTTTTATTTGTCACCTGTCCATAAGACAAAAAAGATTGGCTTATTTACATTTAGCTGCTTCAAAAGACGAATTATCAATAAATTCACACAAATCTTATAATAAAAAGAGATGAACTGCACACTTAATAAAAATACAGTGAACTGGGGAAGTTATGTGTTATAGGATGTTAAGATGAGATGAGATAAGATAAGATAAGAGTCCCAAATTCCAAGATAAGATGCTTAGAATTTAATTCTGCAGCTGCACTGAGCTATGCCATTGACATCCATTTACATTTCCGTTTAATGCAAACTGCCTATTTAACCAGTTACCTCTGTGACAAACGAACCCCCTTTCTTATTATCTTTCAAATTAAGCCCCTTCTTCATCACCTGGTCTCCCGTAAAGAAGCTTCCTGTTTGCTACACAGTAGCCTGAAGGGTTTTGAAACAGAGCAGCCATTCAGCTGCTGCTGCTTCCCACCAGCAGCGCTGCTTCCAACAGGGCACTTTTCTGTTGGTATCAGATTGCATCACTCTACCTGAGGATACCTCCTCCATCCACTCACACAGCGCACCACCCGGCGCGTGGCTGTATGACATCACTCCCCACTCCCCAGGAGTCAACCGGCAGCGAGGCGCGAGTCGCTCTGCTCGCTCACTCAGAGAAACTTGAGACAGATGCTGCTTCTCCATTCACGTGTGTTTAACGAGAACCCAGATGTATTAAAACCACCCATAACATCGCTTTTGTTTGGAAAAGAACTGTATATCGTATCTGATACGGTGGATAATGTTTTTTAATGTAACCAGTTGTTTCTGTTTGGGGTTATGAATGTGGCCTCGCTGTGGAGGAGCTCTTGCATTTACACTGGTGCCCACCCAACCTATGGAGGCTTTATCATAAAGTATTTACAGTTACCGTGCGATACATGGATATTTACTTACCACTCTGTCGTTTGGAGTCCATGTCCTTAGATGTTCTGAAGTCTGTGCCGCCCGATTTGTTTCCAGTAATAATCCCTCAGTTGCTTCGGTTACAAGTTCTGCTCATGTGAGAAGAGTTGTACCCGCATACACAGCGGAGGTCTGTCGGCCTCTGTGCGGCCAAGTGAGTCAGAGTGGCCGCTACACTTTTTGAGTAGGGGCTGCTTGTTCATCATCAAGAGTCCCGCTGGGTCCTAGTGCTGGTGGTGTTCTGTTACAGATCCACAGTGACAATAGTCATCATAGCATTACAGCTTGGTAGTAACATGGCAATACCGGGGTAGTAGTTTGGTACGGAAGGCATAATACTCACATGATCATGTAATTCCTACAGTATTAACCAGACAACAAGTTTTTATTAGCAAATATATCTGGTTGGAGGCCGGGATGCATACTGTTGGGGCCAGAAATATGCACTTTCTTACTTTAAGAGATCATAAACCAGAATTATTAAAGGCAGAATTATTTTTTAACGTTAAGAAGGTCCTTACTCAAGGATCATGCACATGTTTGAGTCTACAGTGCTCTGGAAAAGGTTTAAGCAATGCCTGATTTTCAGGAGCCAGACTTTCTTGGAATTGTTTTTTTTTTTTTTGGTTTTTTTGAAGTGGTCTTGAGCAATAGTTCTCCAGGATTTCTGAAGGTCTTTCTCTTTTTTTCCATTTTCTTTGAAAGTCATTCATTGACTGCTTTTGGCTCCTTGGACTTCACCATTTTCAGAGGAATTTTTATTTGTTTGGTTGTTTGTTAGGACCCGAAGTCTGAACCACTCAAGCATAAAAAATAACCTAACTAAAGGAATGAAACAGTTTTGCTTCTATATATAAGTTAGCAAAGAATCAGTTTTAAATTGTATCTTTGGTCAATTCACTGCAAAAACAGATAATTTGTTCCTATTTCTTTAGTCAAATCTATAATACAAAATGGCACTGATATCAAGGTTTGACAGGTATAAAATTGTATTTTTTTTTTCATCCTTAAACTTGGGAAGTCCCACTATGGTGTGCAGTGTGTCCCTAAAAAATCTAAAGGAAATTGGAAAAGTGGGGGACAAAATAAGTAGAAGGGCTAAAAATAAATAAATAAAATCTACCTACAGCAGATGAACAATATCTGAACGTCACATCATTGCAAAACAGCAAGATATCTAGTAAAGACCTGACACGGGACCTGAGAGATGCATCTGGCTCTTCAGCTGATTATCTACTGTTCACTGAAGCATCATCAGAAAGGAAAAGTAAGTGGGAGAAAATAATGAGGTATGCTAGATTATACAAGAACTGGACTGAAAATTCCATTTTTGGTTTAAATCATATATGAACAAAGGGAGGTAAAACAGTGAGTTTCTAAAGCCGCCTAAAAACACAGTGGAGGTCTTTCAAGAAGCCTGGAAACTATTTCTTGAAGATGACTTATTAAAGAAGAGTTTGGCTGAAGGAGTTCAGTCTCTCTCACACAAAAAGTCAAATATTAATGTTGGTATTCTTTAGAATGGTGAAAACTGTCTTTTTCAAGAAAAAAAAAAACAAAATCCAGATAGTTTTGAAGCTGTTGAGATAATTACTAGAATTTTGTTCAGCAATTTGTCATATGTCACGATGGCTCCACCATGAATATGAGACTATTAATATGAAATAAAATAATAATAACAGTGAAAATAATGTTTCATCATACAGAGTAACCCAGTGAGGTCTTCATGGCTGGCTGTGTTCTCTCAAATATGGATACTAATGGGTAAATTCAGCTGGTAAACCATCCATGTCAGGTGGTAAAACCAAAGTACAACCAGAAAAAAAAATAAACGTCTATGTTCATGATACCAAATAACAGCTAATACAAGTTTATGAATAAAAAAGATTGCAACGGTTGGGTGCTAATTCAGGTGGTGTAGCTGCAATAAATGTCACTCAGTTAAATAAATAATTGTATTTAAACCTCTCAGACTATGTATTATATTTCTAAAATGCACATTACTTTAATTAAAAAAATGTTCATATAGTAAACTCATATAAATTATTATTATTATGTGCACAAAAATACAAACCTGCCAAGAGATATATTCACTGATAGTCCTCCACTTTCCTAAAGCGTTTATCAAAATTCATATATTTTCCAGATAAGGAAGCAGCTCTCCGTACCCCCAGATCTGCAGTAAAACTGAACACTCTGAGAGATAAGAGAGGTCCAGGTGAAAGCACTTTAAAGATGAGCCCTTGATTAATGATTGTGTCAGTGAAGTCTAAAAATACAAACCATAGAACAGATAACATCATAACTTCTATTGAGTTGCATTCGAGGGTTGGAAAAAAAAATACCGCACACTAAATAAATCAGTGCATCATTTATTTAAGAGTAGCAGTAAAAGACATTAGGCTGTAAATGAAAACTCCAATAAACAAAAAGGCAAACGTTGTATATGTGATTAATTGCTGCAGCCTGTAAACACAAAAACCCTCCACTTGGTTCAACGGCATTACTTCACCTTTTACAGCCAGTTAAAACAAACTTGAGTCATTCTTTGCAACAGCTATCCAGTGATTTTTGTTTTAATTAGACCACTTTCAGCTCAGTCACTACATATTGCATCTGTTAATCACAAACACAAACCTTTACTTCATATTTTCATATTTCTTCCTTCAATAGTTCCTTTCTTGGCGTTCCTTATATTCAGAGTTCTTCACTTTGTTCAGATGGCTTTTAAATATTAATAAAAAAAATAATTCTTGATTAACTGTTTACCATCGTCAGTCATACACTCACACCCTCACACATACACAACACGTCAGAAAAAAAGTGTTTCAACTGTTGTCCAGCATCTGAATTTCGGGCTTGTTTCTTGAGAATAACTGCAAATACGAACAAAAAGCTTGGATTTCCATATATAAGTGAAACGCACACATCTTATTTTAAAGTGTATAGTACTAAACCCCCACTTCTAAACTAACACCTCCCAGCTCTGAGCCATGACGCAGCTTATTTATGTCAAATGTCATTTCAAAGCAAACGTCAATGGACTGTCCAGTCTGCTTGCACATGTAGAAAAGAAGTGTGTAATATGGCTTCAGAAATACTGACATCAAAAATCAAACATGTTGTTTGAAAAATGTAGACGAAAACCTTTGGTTTTCAAGATGTGCACATTATAAAAACACATTATTTATACACCATGTTCAGTAACCCCAATGCTGAGAATCACACAGTGCTCATTTTCTTGTCTTGCCAGTTTATCAGACTTTGCAGCAACTCTCACCCCCCAAAACTAGATTCTAGAACAGCTGACATACTTCATAAGAATACACGTTTTTTTGGCAGACCTGGAGTTTCTTAAAAAGCACATCAGTAGTTCAGACAAAAACTGTAACGCTCGTGTAAACACACTGCCATCTGCTGGTAGGAGAGGCACAAGCAACCCGTTGTAGCTCCAGTGAAGCTCTCTGCTCCTCTTTTAGTTTTCTACCACTCAGTTTTCCCTTCTTGGTGGGGATTTTTCCTCAATTTTGGCCACTTGGCAGACTTCACAAACATTGCTTAAGAAGTCCAAACACACAGCAGCTACAACAAGCCAAGAACATCTCTCTTCTGCCTTCTTATTTTGTTCAGTTCTTCTTCCGCTGAGCCATGGACTCAAGCTGGGTTCAGTGAAAGGATCTGTTGACTTTTCTCAGAAGAGTCTGACCTGTTTCTTCAGTTCATTTTGTTTCCACTGAGCAAGACGGTCAAAGGCAGACATGGACATGCTGAAGACTCTATAAAACTCCTCTGGGGAGAGATGACGCTGTTAGCAGGAAGAGACAAAGAAGATTAAAACACAATCTAATTTTTACATTTAATAAACCATAGAGAAAAAACATTAATAATGTGACACGACCAGTTGCACAGAGTTTCTAAAATTCATAAGTAGTGACCTTTACTGATATAGTACCAAATGAAAAGACATACAGTACTATACAAAAGTATCAAGTCACCCTCATTTCTGTAAAGTTTGCTTTTAAGTAGCCTGGCTTTCTCGTAATTTTAAAGTGGTTTGAGCAATAACTATCCAGGCTTTCAGAAGCACTTTCAATTTTTTTCTTAGGACACTGGCAGTTTTTTCTTAGTCCACTCCTTGTACCTGAGCCTGGAATTCAACATTTCTGAAGCAGTGCGGGATCATCTTGACAAACAACTGAACAAAAGGCAGTCAAAATCTTTGAATGTCCTTCAAGAGGCCTAGAAAGTTCAAGCTCTTTGGAACTGTAAAAACTCTGTTTTTGCTTTATGCACTCTATTTCCATTTACGTTTGCACGTGTTTCAGTAAATCACTGCACCTATTTCCCATTTTGTTAGCAAAATATAGAGAAATGAATGGTGACTCAGGACTTTTGCACAGTGCAGCACACAGGGAACACTGTGCTTTAAATGTTTTTCTCTGCTAATGATCAGTCTGTCCATTCAGCTTTACATTGCAGGTTGTTTGAGGCTACAGGCAACAACATCTGCCACTTAGTGCTTAGAGGAAGGCTCTGTATTCTGCTTTCTTTGCTGCTCTATGACTCGTAAAACATCTGCAGTGCTCATTGTGTCCAACATGAGGGACACTGCAGGGTTTTTTGTTCTTTAGTGTTGAGAGCTTTCATCACAGTCTGAAAGATCAAAAGCAACGCTTGATGTAGACTTTGTGAAAGAGTTGGGTCCTATAACAGGTCACCTCTAGTCTGGCTCGGTCCACATCACTGGGGAGGCGCTGCTGCCCTCTGACTGACACCACAAGGGCTTCATATGGGTAGATCTTATGAAGAAAGAAAACATATTATTAATACCTGTCAAAGGGTTGTTTTATTATTAATATTCCTGTAAGGTTCCTCATCAAAATGCACCATGGGTGATTTAGCTGAAATAAGTATGAAACGCTAAAAGGACTTAAAATGACTTTAAATGCTGACTTCTTTCTAAATTCTTTACTGAAAATGATTATTTGAATGAGGATGAAAACAAAAACATCAGTAAAAATTTTGGAAAATCAGTATATATTTTAACATGTTTGCATCAGAAGAATCTGAATCATTTTGCATTTGTTTTACCCTCTAGTGGTCAAATGCAGTTACAATGCCAACAACCCCTAAAACTGTATATGAAGAAAAAAAAGAACATTAAGTTTATTTTTTCAAATTTGTGATTTCACCAATGAAAATGTTAAGAAATGCTGTTTTTTTCTGGTGTTAATGAAGTTCTCGGTTGATTTTCTTTTTTATCCTAAAATGATGACTTGTAAAGAAAAAGTGAGAATTATTTACAATAATTACGCAGCAGAATCAAGTCTACTGATGTCTGTTGTCAGCATAATTCTGATCTTCCTGAACTATAAATTATAATCATCTAAATACAAACAAAAATAAAGCTTGAACGGTTTTACTTTACATGTATTTTTAATTCAGTGCCAAAAAGTACAAAAATAAATAGGAGCTTTTTCAGGATACAGCATGTGACACCAACATGTAACATTGTTACATAAAACTAAAAAGAAGAAATATATATTTATTGTGATTATATACAAAATAACTACGCAAACAAGATTTGAGCAACCAAAATTTTCCCTGAAGGTTCTCATCTATAGCAGGTGTTGTGATATCATCATGTTGCCAAGCAACCACCTACCAAGTTAACTGATGCCTTTGTAGTTTATGTGCCTATAACACCTTAAAAGCGTCATATGATTAAAATTTCACGACAATATCATGCAATTTTTTAACCACAAAACTTGAACTATGTTGAGATACCATGTTGCCTAGCAACTGCCTAAAAAGGAGAAAAACTACAGACCAGACTGGAGAATGGCCATGCACTAGTATATACACAATACATGACTATTATTTATTATTAACTTTCCAATTAGGCAGCTTGATCTTAGAGAGTACTGTCATAGTACTGTCAGCCTGTGTTTACTCATATTCATGAGTACAAATATACTTATCTTGCCATAAAAAGACAAGGCTGGTACTGTTAGCTTTTGTTAACGTCTATTTGTGGGTTTGACTTTGCTGTCAGTAAAATGAGTCTGTCACCGTTACAATTTCTCTGGCTGAAGTGGGTGCTACTGAGTGAGATTAATTCATTATTCAGATTAAAGAAGCAACATCATCATTCTTATCCACTGATACAAACCTGTCACTCTTTGCTCAGCAACAGATTTCTTACTTTCTTACTTCTTACTAGCAACTGGATCTTACCTTATATTCTGAAAAGAAGAAGAAAAAAAGGAGTCACTGACAATTGCTGTTCCAACAGTTCTGACTAACATGTGTTAAGGTAGGCAATCGATCAAGAGAAAAACTCAAGTAAGCAGATTGAGCTGAGCAATAGGCTTACCTCTTATCTGCCAATTAACTGCATTAGTGCTGTCATACTGGTAATAATCTCCACCAACACTCCCAGGCTGCCGCAACAGGAAAGTGCATTTTAGGAAAACATGGAATAAAAATACACATTTAATATTTTACAATATTTTAGTGTTTTTTAGTCTAACAACTTATCACACTAATGTATCGACAGCATCATGCCATTTGTCTCACTTGGCCTTAAGAAGCAACTGATACAAATTGGTTTCAGGTCAGTAGCAAATGAAGGACTTTGCAATGTATTACAGTTTAGCAAATGGCCATGTGTATCTTATTCTCTCTGACTCTTGAGAGGAAACCTACATTCATTATCTGTGGACTGCAATCATCAATTATGGGAACTTGGTTTTTGTCTCCAAACACAAGGCGAGTCATCACACACACATACACACACACACACAC